TATATATATATATATATATATATATATATATATATATATATATATATATATATATATATATATATATATATATATATATATATATATATATATATATATATATATATATATATATATATATATATATATATATATATATATATATATATATATATATATATATATATATATATATGCAGGTGCTGTTGTGCGGTCCCATTTCTTAGGGGTACATTTTTAAGTGGTAAGAGTACAAAAATAAAATTGGGATTGAGCCTAAATGTCACTTAGTGTGCTTTCACACCTACACTTTTGTTTCGGAACGTATCTCGTTTGCCCAGTTAGCACGGTTCGTTTGGCATATGTGAACAGGGCAATCACGCTCTGTTCCGCGCCAAAGTAATCGCTCCGAGATCGCTTGAATGAGGTGGTCTCGGCTCGATTGAAACGTACCCTGGAGCGGTTCGATTGCAGTGGGAAAGCCATCCGATCCGAGCGTGGTTATATCACAGTGTTTTATGGATATGTAATAGGCATACGGCTATATGAAGAGAGAATTATGAGTGGGGTGGGAAGTTTTGCCAGTCTCTGGATGCCCGCAAACGAGTGATGATCTCCCGGTAATCTCGCGTCTCCCTCCAGGTCCTCAAATACGCATCGTCGCGCACCCTTCTCACCCCTCCCTACCACTTCTCTCCTCAGACACGTCGCGCACGCGCACCCTGTCAATCACCACCAAACCACCACCTCTCCTGACAGCTTAGCGGGACGCTGCAAAATAAACCCTGACACTCTGACCAATGTAAGGAGAGTTTACTCGCACATGACCTGTTTTAGCTCTTTTGGTCCAATTAGAAACTTTGCAGTGTGAAAGCGAACCGCTCCAAGAGTAAAGAACAACAATGTAACAATGTAATCTCTGTTTCAGAACAACTGAATCGATTCACAGGTGTGAAAGCACACTTAAAGGCTGATTTATACTTCTGCGTCAATCAAACGCGTATGCTACAGCGCAGCCTACATGTTGACGTATAGCCCTACGCCGTGGCCGTTGGCGTCGCTGATGTGCACCTCTCAAAAAATGTAACTACACGTCACAACAACGCGCGGCACAAGCCCAATGGAGCGATTGTTTACAAGTGTGAAATCCGGTGAAGGAGCTCCGGATGGAAAGTTTTGTTTTGTGTTTACCTCATAGTTAAAGTTGTTGCACGTCCGCCGGTTCCTGCCTCAAAATGAGCGAGTTTGAGCCACTTGTACATTTAGGAAGTGTTCAGAAAAAGCAAAACAGCAGCGAAGAAACTCGACACAGAGGAACATTTACACCTCACTGCCCACTAGCATTTCGGAAGTGTAAATGCAGACAAACAGAGACAGCGCGCAGAAGTATAAATGCACAGCTACGTGCGTTGCATGGGCCGTGGGCTATGCCGGTCACTTGACGCAGAAGTATAAACCAGGCTTCAGCTGAATACTACTATCTTGAAGAATATCTAGTTAAATATTATTTACTGTCATCATGGCAAAGATAAAAGAAATCAGTTATTAAATATTAATTATTAAAACTATTATAATTAGAAATGTGTTGAAAATCTTCTTTTTGAAGTATGTCTTCAGTTTAATAAACATGCTGATCTGCTTTTCTGAGGTTCACTCTTACCTGGGAATGGTTTGGATGATGAAGATCGTCTGTCCTCTTACAGACTCTTTGATTTCTACTCGCGTTTCTGTCAGATAAAAAACAAACACGTGAAAATAACAATCAAAAATGAGTTGCTTTTTTCAGGTGATGCTTAATTATTGGGCTGATCATTCAACTTAATGAATAAAAGTATTTCCCTTCAATTAATGTCTTTTTCTTTTCCGATATACTATATAGGAGGGTGAGGGGGCCGGCCAGGGGGCGCAGTGGATAGCATGATCACCTCA